AAGATATATTCCTGGCAAGAAAAAGATTCAAGAAATAATTAGGGAGTAAGAACTAACGGAACTTGGTAAGAAATGATGAAAAGGGAAAAAGAAAAATTTGGAAAGCCTTGTGAGAAGGTTACCTAGAAGTAGATAATTAAATGATATAAAAAGTGAGTCTAGCAAAGATCCATAAGAGGATTTCAGGCAGACGGAACAGCTAGTAAAAAGGTTCTGAAATGAAAGCAAGCTTGGCACACTCTATAAACAAGTATAACTTCTTTTGTAGGCAATGTCCTATACGTAGAATTTGGCTATGGTAAAAAATACGAATTTATTCCAAATATGATAGTAAGCCACTAGAAAGTTTAGAGTAAGAAGGTGAAATTATCCGGTTTTCATTTTTAACAGTTAATTCTGGGTTTTGGGCAAATAAAAGACTAGGGCAAAACCTCTTAAATACAGTATATTGCAAAAGGTTAACAAATGGACCAAAAAGTATTACTTTCAATCTTTCTCTCTCTCTGATCACCCAGTTGAATCAACCTGGCTAGTTTATTTTGCAATCAATTTACCATCTGTGAAGTTTTTGTTTTACATGTACACATGTAAGATGTTTAGCTTTTCTTTCAATTTACTTTTTTTCTAGCATATAAGATATAACTGTTACTATCATTATCATCTAGTATTAGAGGTCTTCTGATTGACTTTGTTAATTTTTTTGATAGCTACTTTATGGACTGCTTGTTCCATACTGCTGGCTGGCCTACTGGCTTTCGATGTTAATAATGAATCGAATGAAGTATAATTCTTTTTTTTTTTTAAGAGTTTATTTATTTGACAGAGAGAGTAAGAGAGATCACAAGTAGGCAGAGTGGCAGGCAGAGGGAGATGAAGAAGCAGACTCCCCTCTGAGCAGAGAGGTCGATGCAGGGCTCGATCCCAGACACCCAGGATCATGACCTGAGCTGAAGGCAGATGCTTAACTGACTGAGCCGCCCAGGTGCCCCCAAAGTATAATTCTTGATGGAAATTCAAAATGAATCATTTGTGCCCACAAAAAGAAACATATAAACATTACTTCAGAATTATTATGCTTTTATATAATTAAAAGGTCCCCTCATCAGACACATTATTCATTTTGAATTTAATTCAATTTAATAAATTTAAACTGAATCATTAGAAGGGCTATATATTATAGTTTGAGAAAACCCATTTTCAAAATATTTATCTGTATAAAAAATTTTAATTTTTAAAATTTTTAAATTAAAGTCAACATTTCAATACTTCCTGTTTTCCTTACTACGTTTCACTTCTAATTTTCTCAATATGATGTGCTTTAAATCATTCTTTTAAAAAATATTTATCTATTTATCTATCTATTTATTTAGAGAATGGATGGAAGGGCAGAGGGAGAGAGAGAATCTCAAGCAGACTCCCTGCTGAGTGATGAGCACGATGCAGGGCTCAATCTCATGACTCTGAGATCATGACCTGAGCCGAAATTAAGAGTCAGATGCTCAACGAACGGACTGAGCCACCCATGCGCCCCTAAATCATTCTTTTTTGAAGACTTTATTTATTTATTTGAGAGAGAGAGAGCACGAGCACACAAGCCAAGGAGGAGGCAGAGGGACAGGGACAAGGAGACTCCCCGCTGACCAAGGAGCTCGACGCAGGGCTCAATCTTGGGACTCTAGGAAAATGACCTGAGCCAAATGCAGACCCTTAACCAACTGCACCACCCAGGTACCCCTCATTCTGAAAAATATATTAGTTATATTTTAAAAAAATTTATCTAAAGCTATAAAAGCCTACAGTCCCCCACTCCTTAATTTCAATAGATTTAGTTTAAGTAGTATTTATTTTTCCACCAGAATAGACAACTTTTAAAATTTAAGGTGAAACGTGAGGGGCGTCTGGGTGGCTCAGTCGGTTAAGCGGCTGCCTTTGGTCCAGGTCATGATTCCAGGGTCCTGGGATTGAGCCCCACGTTGGGCTCCCTGCTGAGCGGGGAGCCTGCTTCTCCCTCTACTTCTACCTGCCGCTCCCCCTGCTTGTACTCTAATAAAATAAAATAAAAAATCTTAAAAAAAAGGTGAAACGTGAGAGTCCAAAAAGTTTAAATCACAAATGAGAAAGCATAAGGTTTCTCTAATCATACAATATATTTTATTAGCATGAAGGATAGGTGGCAAGCAAACTTACACCAAGACATTACTATAAAACATCTTTCTTATTCAAAAAAAGACTTTTAGTTTTTAATCCTCAGCAAAAAATAGAACAAACGAACTTCTTTTATAAGAAAGCCAGTTATCTGGGGCGCCTGGGTGTTTCAGATGGTTAAGTGTCTGCCTTCGGCTCAGGTCATGATCCCAGGGTCCTGGGATTGAGTCCCACATCGGGCTCCCTGCTCCTTGGAAGCCTGCTTCTCCCTCTGCTTCTCTCTCTCTCTCTGTCTCTCATGAATAAATAAATAAAATCTTTAAAAACAAAAACAAAAAGCAAGCCAGTCATCTATCTGGTAGCACAATGAATACTAAAGCAAAATACTTCACACGATTCAGAATTGTTCATTTTTTGCAAACTGCATGAATCTCGTCATTATTTTACAGGAACAAAGAAGTAAAAAAAAAAAAAAGAGACAATGCTCTTGAATAATATTTAGTAGGTACAATGATGGCATGTCAGGTGACAAACGGGCAACATAATATAGATACTCATGAAAAAATTTTCTCATTGGTAACTAGCATTTTTTTACAAATCAATACTTAATACCTTCTCTAAAATTCTGTATTCTATTATGCAATATGAAGAAAATATAAGTTTTTACCAGGGCCCATACAGATGCTCAGTTTTCTCCCATGCTATATAGATGTTACTATTTTCTATGTGTGTTATGGGGGAAAGGGTGAAAACCTAGAAATGGCAGAGTAAAAAGCAAGGAGACCAAATAAGAGCTAAAAGGTAATATATTCCTAAATTTGTGGCTTAGGAAAATTACAAAAGAAACTAACTGAGAAAAAGAAACAGTGTGAGAATGAGGAAGAGTACAAGACAATTCCATTTGGAACAGGCTGAGTCTGATGTACCAACAGGACCTCTCAGAGGAGTTCTCTCGTAATTAGTGAGATATATAGACCCAGAATATAAAGAGACTTCACTTAGAATAAGGGGAGGATTTTAGATGGTAATTGAAAACTACCAGATCTCCTTGAGAGAGTTATCTATAATAAAGGAGAAGAGAAACTAGACAAAGAGGTAGCGGAAAGCCAGAGGAAAAGTAGCTAGAGAATCTGAGAAAGAGTAACAAGCCCTTGGAAAGGAACATTTTAAAAAGGAAGAAATGAATGAAGAGAATCAAATTCTGATAAGGATGTCAAAAGTATCTAATATCTGAGTCACTGGTAAGTTTGGTGAGAATAGTTTAGTGAAGAGCAAGAGAGCCAAACAGCTAATTGAGAACTGAATAGAAAATGAGTTAGTAGAGACAATTCAAAAGAGGAGCTAGAGTTGAGGTCAAGAGAAAGAGTTTTAAGATGGAAGGGGCAAGAAGAGTACTTTCATTTTAAATGCTGATAGAAGCAAGAGCTTAAAGAAGGAAGACTGAAAAGAAATAATTTATGGAAGAAAATCATAATTGGTAACTGTATAAAAAAGTCTCTTCTTATCTAAATTTCAGAAGACTAACAATCTGACCAAAAGAAATTACAACATCATTACATTCTGTATAAAATTTAGGCAGCATTTACATCTTGAAGACATTATAATCATTTTTTTTTTTTTTTTGCAACACTATTCAAAAAGGCAAGCAAGTAGGTAAAACATTCGTGTTCACGGACATTTCACTTTCATTAAAATTCCCATTCACTCTATATCTTTAACTTTCTATTTATCAACCCTGTGCATTATTCAAGTTTCAGAAATAACAGAAATCTATCACAATATTAGTAATATTAGAATCATTGTCTAAAATGAATGAAAGTAGAGAATAAAGGATTAAAACTTCCAAGCTTGGGCAGTTTCCATCTTGGAAGAATGGTGGTAACCACTAACAAAGCTGAGGTTGCTTTAAAAAAAAAAAAAAGGCTGTATTTTACAGTAGCACAATCTATATTCATAATAACTGAAGTTGTCATTTCTAATAAACATACTTGTTTCCTAAGAATGTTTTTTAAAAAAACAATTTTACTACAGTTACTAACTTAATTGGGTACTCGAATTAAATAATAATTGGAATATCTCTACTGCAAAAACCAGAGTAAATTAATCTACGTTTAGTGTATCTCACTATACCAATACACCAAAAGATCTCAGCCACATGAAATATTCATTTAACAGATATCTACTGAATGCTTCCCCTAGCCAGGCACTCTTCTGTGATGACAATTCAAGGGTAAACAAGGCAGAAAAGGCTCCTCCCACCAAGGAACTTGGCCTTATAGCCAGGGAAGACTTACAGTAAAGGTATAAATAAGATAACATCAAACATGTAAGTACTATCATGAAAATAAAAGAGCTTAAAGAGTAACTGGAAGGAAGTAATGGCTATTTCCAGGCTCGCCAGAGAAGGATTCTCTGAAGAACAGAATACTTGAACTTAGACTTCAGTGAAAAGAAAAAGCCAAACATGCTACAATCATTCTAGACAATGGAAATAGCTGGTAAAGGTCACATGGTACTTTAAGTCCTAGCTACACATTACTGTTCAGCGGAAGTCAACCCATTTAAAAACTGGCCATCAGTTTTAATAAAAATCTGTGGATGTGCAACAATATTAATGCTTTTTAAGTGACCTAATGTAGGGAATGGGAGATAATTCACTTTTAGATATAAGTACACAAAAAAATATTAATGTTCAAAAAAAGACTTTAAAAATATTTCACAGGTGCTTAAAAATTAGCATATGTTAATGGAATCCTTTGATATACACATCATATATGAAGAGCCATAAATGGCTTTCTCTTAAAGCAAGACCATTTCTATATTGGATAAGCACTAAATAATAAAGAGAATCTTACTTTTAGCAAATATGTCAACTGGTGATCCATCAGGCAAAAGCCATGGCCAACCTTTGAACTGCCATGCAGGACCTTGCACAAAAACTGCTACAACCCGATCCCTATAAAGAGAAAAGGGGCAGGGTGGTTAGAGCTCCAGGGTTGAGACAATACCTCAAATATGAAATTTGATTACTGTAAATTCTTAAGGAAAGGACTCAACTGCCCATGTGATATAATCTACTGTCAACAAATCTGTGAGGCAAATTACATAACTCTTTGTTATAATGTTATCATTAGAGCACACTAATGATTGCTAAACTTTCCATGCATCTGTTTTTGCACCTAAGCCTTTTAAACATAATTACACACACAATCCTTATATGCAATCTTTTTAACCTTTAATCTGCCCTTCTCCTAGAATAAGGGCCCACTTTTCCAATGTGATAGGGAACAAGATTTGATCTATTAATTGAAAAAGTTGGTTTTAAAAGAAAATCATCTAAAATTCAAATACATCTGAAATGCTTTACTCTAATTAAAAACATTATAAATTATAGTAATTCACCAATCATTTTATTTTATAAAGCCCCAAGGCCTTATTTCTGAGTTCTGATTATTTGGAAAGTAATCTTGGGTAGAAAAACCATCAAACTTTAATTTTTCCAATTGTTTACATTTCACTCACCCTAAATTCTATTAGCATTTTCTTTTCTTTTCTAAGTAGGCCCCACGCCCAACGTGGAGCCCAACCTGGGACTTGAACTCACAACTCTGAGATCAAGACCTGAGCTGAGATAAAGAGTTGGACACTTAACTGAGCCACCCAGGCACCCCATTAGTGTTTTTTTAAAGCAACTTGTCGGGGCGCCTGAGTGGCTCAGTCGTTGAGCATCTGCCTTCGGCTCGGGTCATGGTCCTAGGGTCCTGGGATCGAGCCCCGCATTGGGCTTCCTGCTTGGTGGGAGGCCTGGCTCTCCCTCTCCCACTCCCCCTGCTTGTGTTCCCTCTCTCTGTCAAATAAAATCTTTAAAAAATAAAAAATACAAAATAAAGCAACTTGTCTTTCCAACCACTCAACTCTGTTTTCCTAAAAAGAACAAATCTTTCTCTATGCCCTCATATTTTTCATTAGTTCACAAAATATTTAATTAAATTGAGAAATTATAATAAGTACAAAGGCCATAAACAGTTTAAGTCTAGAACTAAAGTGGGAACAAAACCATAATATAAACAATAATAGTTAACATTAATTAAGATGTACTATGAGCATTCACTCTGTGCCAGGGCTGTTCCAAGCACCTCACACTGTACATATGTTAACACACTGAATCTTCCAAACAATTCAGCGAGGTGACTACTATTATTACCCCCATTTTACAGATGAGGAAATATAAGTGTATGGTCAGTCCATTAGTCAGAAGAGAAATGGAGGTAAGAAGAGGAGTGAGAAGGAGAAAGGGAGGGAATGATTACTCCTGTGCACTGGTTACGCTACTGTTCCTATGGGAGAACTGATAAATCCTGAGAACAGCCATCTCAGTACTATAATGGAAATAGTTTTAACCTTACAATTCCCTGAAATGGTCTTAGGAATGCCCAGAGGTTTGCAAATCATACTCTGATCACCACTGCATTAGATGAAGACTATACAGCCAACAGAGCATTAAACCAGGGTTACCTTCTATTCAAGTAAAAGACCTACAGCAACAATTCAAGTTACTGTGAAAAACCACAGCTTAAAATTCTTAATCTACTAAAAAATCTCTAAGGCTAACATTAAATCTTAAATAAAAAATTTCCTCCTTGCATAGGATATATATCCCATAGTGCCAAAACTATCTTTGGTAACGGAGCACACTATTAAATGGTCTCTTAATTTGATGACATAGCTTGTACCATACAATAGCTGAAAGCCCAAAGTACCTGCCAAACTAAAGGAAATTTGCTGGAGAGGTATCACCTAGATCCTACTGGGTTTCACAGGGTTAAGAGGTAAGCAGGATAATATAAATACTAATCTCAGTGAATTCTTAAAAGGACAATTAACAGAGAAAGAAAGAAAAAAGGTAAGGAAAATATTATTCCTAGGTTATGACATCAATGACTAGGGACCTAGCTGATACATACAAGCAGTGTTTTGTAGCATGGTGACAGAACCTGTATACACCGTATTTTTTCTGCAAGTAACCACAAACATATAAAACAAATGGTGTAACTCTCCTTCTTCCTAGAATTTTTAAACTTGGTATCCGAAATTCTCATCTTACTTCGTATAATAAATTTTTAACATACTTATATTCTCAATGCCCTGACTTTCTAATGTGGGAAGACTAATGAGTACTTCAAAGGTAAACCAGGTAATTCATCAATGTGTTGTATTCTCTATGTCACAGAGATGCATTCTCAGACTCTGTATTTTTATTCCAGCTTAGATTAATAAAATAATTTAAGATAATTCATGAATCTGCATTTATAGGCACTTTGTTATAAATAGCCCACTTAATATTTTATTAAAGGACACTTTAATGTAATCAAAGAGTTAAACCAGAGGAGTAATGTTATTCTTTTTATTAAATTATTCCCTACAATAAAAGTAACAATTCTTTCATTTATCATTTCTTACCCAAAAACGTGAATTCTCCAAATCAAAAATCTAAAACTATAGCTCTCAAAACTAAATTAGTCTATTTGGAAATTTTGCTCTAAAGGCTGATCCAGAACAAATAAACAGTGGAAAGAGTTTTTACTAAGTTTTCCAGAAGTTAGTGTTTTTGTTGTTTTTTTTTTAAAAAAGATTTAATTTGAGAGACAGCGAGCACACACGAGCAGCGGGGGAGGGGCAGAGGGGCAAGCCACTCCTCACTGAACAGGGAGCCTGACAACGACCCAATTCCAGGACCCTGAGATCATAACCTGAGCCAAAGTCAGATGCTTAACCAAGTGAGCCACCCAGGTGCCCCTGAAGTTAAGTGTTTCTTATAAGTAAAATAAAGTTTAGCTATCCAATGTGAACATTATTAATGACCAACTGAGACACTAACATGGTTTTCAGGGATAGTTTCTATTTAGAACTCATGACAAAATCTGATAGTTTTTAATTATACAAAAAAAATTCAATGACTACATAAAAGTACAGATCATCTTACCAGTCTTGAGGCATAAGCTTAAGGGGCTGGTCTACTACTCTGTAAGGGACTGTGACACTAATCGCAGTGCCTCCTGGTTGCATCTGATCTTTTCTTCTCTGTATTAAAGTTTCATTTTCTCGTTGGCAGCCTTGTTTCTTCTTTTCATCTGATGGGACAAATCTTTGAAAAAACAGAGATGAGAAAAGGTCAAATGTTTCAATGTGATACAAATGGGAAAATAAATTATACTGAAAGTTTTAAAGCAAACTTTTTCTTTTTTTTTAATGAACCTGCTCTGCATGTACAGATCACAATGTGTGGAGTATAATCTCTCCTTTCCATGACAGTACTCAGCTCACACAGGCCGTAAGTTGGTGTTTATGTCTGTGTCTCTCTCACACACATACAATTTTTATTAATTCATCTAGCACTTAACATTTTCCAAAGTTACATAAAAGACCATACTAATCCTTGATTTTTCCAATGCTAGTAGAAGGAAATTTTATTATAAATCAAAAGGTCACTTGACATGAAGATGATGGAGCTTTTCCCCAGATAGGTGACTTAGCCTAAGAGCATCACAAAACACCCCTTTTCATGGATTATGACTTAGCAAAATTAGGAAAATGCTATCCAATTTCAGGGTTGCTTTGCAAATTTTAAAGGAGGAATTAAATAAGTATATGCCAACTGTCTTAGTATAAATACTGCTAGTTATTTAGTAAATTACCAACTCTACCATGGGATTCAATTCTCCACTGTACTAACAACAGATATTCTCAAAAATAATTTAGCAATCTGCAGAGCTGTTGCCAGCTCTAGATTGTTGGTATTCACAAAGCATTTCAAAATGGTCTTTTAAAAATATGCATACTCCTAATACACACTCTATTAGCATATTTTATCAGCTATGGTCTGGCACTACCAATTAAATGGGGGCAATGCAGTCATTACATTGAGACTCATTCAGCTTCTAAAGTTTAAGACAGATAAATGGAATGGACGGGATGCATGAGAGCTTGCACTTGGTAGAGTCCTTTGAAAAATTTCAATATCACATGCTGAATTCATCACTGGTAATACTAGTCTTGTACTCATGAAAGTTTTTAGTAGATGGTGATTGTGATAAACTGTACTTCATTTCTGAGCTGTTTTCATATCCATGGCAAATCTGATGGAAAAGTTAAGATTTCCGTATCATTTAAAAACCTCCACCAGATAATCATTTTACTACCTATTGATTTTGGTTATTTATTAATCAAGTCCACTTAGAAAATGCCAAATGTAATACTAACACTGAATAATTAAACACTTTAAAATTAACAGACATGCATTGTTGGAAACAGTTTTCATATAAAACAACAAAAATGTATCAAGTGAACAGTGATACATTGTGCTAAGTTATACAATATACATAGTTGTAAAAAAAAAAAAAAAAAGTCACTGCCCCCTTGAAGCTTACATTCCAGATACAAAGTGGTCTCACTGCCAAGAGAAAGATGCTTTATCTCAGTCTATATCTAGATGGGATTAAAATGTTTACATTCTTAAATATAATACTGCATCTCACTCTTTTCTAGCTTTTGAAATTTTAAATGTTGTAAAAGTATAAAATTACTTATGCAAAATTACTTACAATCTTTAATGAATTATTATATACGTACAAATGAGTGATCTATAATATCCAACTTTTAAAATAAGTCTATTAAACACCTAATTCACTTCTAATACATTAAGAAATGAGTTACATAGCATTTGCATGTTCACATATTTGTTGATGTTTTACTAAATTCAGAGTCATTAACATGGTACTTTAACTATCATCCTGTAATTTTTAAATGCTCTAGTATTTTAATTTCTGAATATATCTAGGTCTTTAGAATAGTAGCCTTCACTGTAGTAAAATGCAGCTGTTTTTCAAAATGTTTTTCAGCCTTGATCTCATGTAGTAACATAAGGATCGATCTTCTATCCTACTCTCCTAAACTTAAAGTTCGAATAACAATGTAGATTTCTCTATTCATGGAAGGTACTAGCAAACTAATTAAACTTAAGCCTTTTTTTTTTTTTTTACTGTATTTCCCTGGGATCCTGGAGTAAGAAATAAAGCCTAAATTCTGCTCAAGGGAGGGAATCTAACATAAATTCCTTCTTTCACAAAGGTTGGATTCTCAGGGATTAAATTCAATATAATGGTAAGCTAGAAATAAACCCACTGCCCACTCTTTTTCCTGTACCCCACCCCTAGCCCTTATTAACACCCTAGCAACCGCAAGGAAAATCAAATCTCAGAATTGTAAATTGGCCCTCACTTGAATTTGAGGCAAGAATTAAGCACCCTGACCACAATAATAAACACATTATCCAAGCCAGGCCAATGAGACTTAAACCTGGAATTTTTGCTGGAATTATTGGGAACCAGGCACTATCTTTCTACTGTGATCAGTAACCTGGAGTTTTTGATAATCCTCTTTGACCCTGAAAAGGGAGAACCTGAGAGATGGAGAGACCAACTCCTGATTATATCATTTTAGCACTAAGTCTAGCTGTCAGAAGCCAGGACTGTTCAGTCATGTTAAGTCAATAAAGTATTTTTTTATAAAGCTACTTTGAGTTGGTATTTATCATTTACAACTAAAGATGTTCTAACAAATATAACCAGAATTGCACAACTGATGTGATGGATGAATATATGTGATTTGGAGAAATATTATGATGTCCACTGACTTATCCAATATTTGCAACTATTTATTCCACTCTACATTCCATGAGTAAAGGAGTGTGGGTGATGATATGACTAAAGTAATTACTATTTAAACAAGTACAGTTCTACTGAAATAATTTTATTAGTATTGTCAAAGAATAAAATTCAAATAAATGATATAGCTAAATAGATTACAGACTTTATGTTATTTTAAAAACAGAGCAAGTTTATGAACATTTCCCAGGTTAAAAATATAGTTTTCCTTTTTCCTAAATAAAAGAAGTTAGAATTTGGAAAGTAGAGAAAAGAAAAAGCAACAATGCATGTTTAAAAACCTCAAACTGAGAATTTAATTTAAAGTGATGTAATATTGGCAATGCTCCCAGGTACTTAGCAAACACAAATGTAAACCTTTTCTGGATTACCCCTCCCCCACCTTCATTTTAAATTCCAAGGAAAATGAACAGTAAATAAGACAATGAAAAACATTAAATGTACTAAACTAAACACACAAGGAAATGAGAGGCACCATGAAAGAAACTACTGTCAAAAGAAAAAGATAACTAAGGACTTCTAATAATGCAATTATCAAAGATCAAAGCTTATAAAACAAGATTGCAAATATGGACAGGAGAAAAAAATACTTTTAAAAAGATCAAAGATCTGAAAAAGAACTACAGAGAACCACTAAAATTGAAAAAGTCCCAGAAACAGAAGAGAAAAGGGGCGGGAGGGATACACAGGTAAAGGGCCAGGACTCAGAACTGACAAAAAACACAAATTCATACACTTAATTCTAATGAATCCTAAAGTGGGATATATAAGAAATCTACATCTACGTTGAACAGATAAACAAATTTAAAATGGTCTTTAAAATAACCAGGTAAAGCAGATTTCCTTCATAGGACTGATTATCACACTAACAGGTGACCTATGAACCAATACAGGAAGCTAGAATGTAGTGCAACAGTATCTTAAAAGCAACGAGAAAAGAAAAAAAGAAACTGTATTTGTTTTCCAAAGTGGTTGAATCCTTTTGCACTAACTGTGGCTGTTGGGAACAAACTATTCATGGTCCAGAGTAAACTCCAGTAAATGTTCTGCCTTCTTCTTCCCCAGGCCTCAGGTAGTTTTCTCTACCTGAATGAATGTGCTCAGTAGTATTTGACTAAATGTGAGGGGAACCCTACCCTCTAGATATATTCGAAGCACTCTCTCCATGCAATCTCTCTTCTGGAACTCTGTCCTCTATCATCATGGCCAGAATCATGAGTGCCATCCAATCATTTTATTTCAATAAACTTACAGTCCTACTAAAACTTCTCTCAAGATCACATTTATAGGGCGCGTGGGTGGCTCAGTCGTTAAGCGTCTGCCTTCGGCTCAGGTCATGATCAGTCCCACATCGGGCTCCCTGCTCTGTGGGAAGCCTGCTTTTCCCTCTCCCACGCCCCCTGCTTGTGTTCCTGCTCTCGCTATGTCTCTCTCTGTCAAAAAAATAAATAAAATCTTTAAAAAAAAAAAAAAGATCACATTTATAATTATATGTAAAATGTATTTATTAATACTTTCATAATATAACCTTAATTTTGTTATTTAGGGATGTTAGAGGTTATGGTAGGTTTTGTTCTGTTTCATTTATTTATTGACGGGCTAAAAAATTGAAAAATCCTTAATTTTACATGAAACCAAATAAAATCTGTGCCAAATGAGCTATGGGGTACAGCCAGTACTATAATTGTGTGGAGGAGGTTTCAATTATGCATTAATTACATAGCGAAGCCTCCAGCTGACTCACACTGTAGGGGAGATGTCAGTTGCAATGAGGTGTTAAACAATGAAGGGAGTGTTTTATACTTAAATTAGGCTCAGTCTATCCTAAGAATGTGGTGTATTTAATTATTTGGTTTCTCTGTTGTGAGCTTAAGGAGAAAAACACTAAAATTTACTTTGTGATTTCTTTGCATTGCTTACTATCTTCCATTATAAATAATATTTAAGATTTAGATTTGTAATACATTCAGATGAGCACCATAAAGGTTCTGGAAAATGAAAAACTAAAGGCAGAATTTGTTTTAACATTCCAAAAACTTACTGCGAATTTTCTGTAACCATTAAGGTATATTTATAAAAAATAGAAATACCTGTCAATTACTAAAAATTGTTAAGAGTTGGAAATACCAAATTTACAAATCATAAAAATCAAAGAACTACAAAGGGCCTTAAACACCTGATCCAAATACAGTTAGTGCAAAAAATGCAATACCAACTATAATGACACTTCACAGGAACTAAAATCAAATCCCAGATACAGATACAACTATCATATATCAAAGAAGGAATTTGAAATTAGACATAAATACACTAAATGAATTCACAGCTTGTGCAAACACACACAAAAACCAAAATTTGAATTCCAAGTACATAAGTCTGCCATTCTCCAAATTATCAATGTGTTCCTCCCTCCTTTTCTGTTTCCTAGACATTTATTTAATATCCATTACTGGGCAAACACTGTTTTCAACAATGGAGGTACAAATAACAATAAAGTAACAAGCCCTTTTCTCTAATGAATTCACAATTTAGTTGGAACTGTGAATTCCAACTGGGTGTCAGACTGTAAAACACAGAAGCCATCACAAAACAAAAACAAAAATATAGATGCATATCATACTTCACAGAATATAAACAATGAAAAAACTACTCCTGTATACTCATTAGAAGGTGGAAAGCAGACACATGAATGCTCCAACAAAAACTAACAAAAATTTTAAAGCAGTTAATGAAATCCATTTTTTTGCATGGGTCTGACACAGTTTCAGTTACATATTCAAATTTCAAGGAAGGCCAAAATGATCATATTTCTTATTCACCCAATTGTAGATGACTTGAGGAATTACTTGAGTAATTCATAACACTGTAAGAACACTAAACAATAAAAGCCTAATGAAATATAAAACATAAGAAGTCCTTCTTTCCCAACTGGTAATGGAAAAAAGCTCAGTGAAAATTTCATTCAAAAGTACTAAAGAAAAATACTCTATAGATATATTTGTGCCACATTACATACATTTTTTTTATAAAGCTATTTAAGTCATAAGGTACTTAAATTCAATTCTGCATTTGGTAAAACCTGAAATCAAGTTTTATAATTCATTTTGTATCTCATTTTTAGTCATAAGTTATTGTAGAAGCAGTAGGATTTTCTTTTTTGGAGGTCAGGTTGCTATTGTTTTCTTTCTTCAAGAATTGTAATTGTTATTTACTGAGAAAGAAGGCAGAGCATTCACATTCTTTTTTTGGATATTAATTATGTTACTGACTGAAAATATTTTCCTTTTTTTTTTTTTTTTCTAAATATTTTATTTATCCATTTGAGAGAGAGAGAATGAGAGAGAGAGAACACATGAGAGGGGATAGGGTCAGAGGACGAAGCAGACTCCCTGCCGAGCAGAGAGCCCGATGCGGGACTCAATCCTGGGACTCCAGGATCATGACCTGAGCCGAAGGCAGTCGCTTAACCAACTGAGCCACCCAGGCGCCCTGAAAATATTTTCCTAATTACCACTAAAAATACTTAACAAGAATTTTCAATGTTAGACCAAATTACAAAATATTGTTACTATAATTAACAGTGAATATAAGGCCCTGAATATTGCAGAAGAGTATTTTGCTCCAGAATAAAACCCAATTTCTTTTTGTAAAATTTATTTATTTTAGAGAAAGAGAGAGACAGAGACAGACAGAGTGCAAGCACGCATGTGAGGTGGGGTGGGTCCTCAAGCGGACTCCACCAAGCACAGAGCCCAATGCCAGGCTCCATCTCACAACCTGAGCTGAAATCAAGAGTCAGGCACTTTAAATGAATAACCCACCAGGCGCCCCTAAAGCCCAATTTCTTAATCTGAATGTCTGTTAAGAATCTCCATTATCAAAGGTTAAAATAACTAAGCTGGTCTTTGGGAGACCTGGTTATAGTTCCTGCTCTGCATCTAACAACCAGAGTAGTCTTTTTATCTCTTGCCATTTTCATTGAGAGTAAGAAGGTATTCTGACAATCCTTTTTAGGTCTCAAAATCTAGAAAATAGGGACGCCTGGGTGGCTCAGCTGGTTAAGCGACTGCCTTCGGCTCAGGTCATGATCCTGGAGTCCCTGGATCGAGTCCTGCATTGGGCTCCCTGCTCGGCAGGGAGTCTGCTTCTCCCTCTGACCCTCCCCCCTCTCATATGCTCTCTCTCTCTCATTCTCTCTCTCATAAATGGATAAAATCTTAAAAAAAAAAAAAATCTAGAAAATAATAAATTTCAAGTATTTCCTTAGATTATTAAAAAAAACATCACTACAGTTATGTACGTTCTCACTAACACATTATTTGTGAGAGGAGCTAGGTGAAGTTTTTAATGGCTAATATATTATTGCTGAGGTCTAATTTGATTTTGAACTTATCTTCAAGATGTGATTTGTTTGTAAGTGAGTGTCAAAGAAAATTATACTTTTCACTATACTCTCAATAATAAGGCATTAAAATTGGGTTTTATACTAAATGCTGGAACATATTTTATTTCTCATCAGTTGCAACAAATGACTCCCAACACAGTCATGTGAGCTCCAAGAAGATTGAGCTTGCAGTATATTATCTACACAAAGCACTTTGATTTTTAGTTTTTGCTCTATAGTGTTGAATGAATAAACTCAGTATAGACAGATTAAATACACCTTATAAAATTCCAGTTCCAGTAATTATAAAAACCCTTCCAAGAAATGTCAGATAAAATATAACAAACACCTGAAATGTATAGCTGAGCTGGAAAGAAAATAGTCATGGGCCAGAAATCACTGGTGCTTCAGTGGATGAAAAAGGAAGAAAGGAACACACCCTTGAGACTTGGTTTTTACCACCCACACAAAGGAAGGACACAAAGAAACTAGACCTGGAATCTTACAAGAGATAAACAATCAACAAAAGGATGAACTGGGGGGGGGGGGGGGGATTGCAATTAAGTTCTAAGGAAGTATATCCACTTCCTTAGAGAGGGAGAGAACTAGAATTTGTTTTAGAACTTCCCTCAAGCTCTTTAGGAAAAAGTCAAAACAAAACAACTCATATTAAAAATAAACATAATAGTATCCTTTTCATTAGAACTTTTGCCAAAAATTTCTGTAACTTTCCCTAAAGAATCCAAAGAGAAAAGAATATACAGCAGACCCCTGAACAACACTGGTTTAAAGTGCATGAGTCCACTTATACATGGATTTTTGGTTTGGTTTTGTTTTTTTTCCAATAAATGCAACACAGTACTTGGGTGCCTGTTGGCTCAGTCGGTTAGCATATGTCTTCAACTCAGGTCATGGTCCCAGGGTCCTGGGATTGAGCCCCGAATCAGGCTCCCTGATCAGCAGGGAGTCTACTTCTCCTTTTCTCTCTGCCCTCGCCCCCACCTGGCTCATGCTCGCTCACTCTCTCAAATAAATAAATAAAATCTCTTTATAAAAATACAATAATGTAAGTGTATTTTCTCTTCCTTGTGATTTTTTTAACATTCTTTTCTCTAGCTTACTTTATTGTACAGAATAGTATATAATACATATGAGATACAAAATATGTGTTAATTGACTGTTATGTTATATGTAACATATTATCAGTAAGGTGTCCATCAACATTAGGCTATTAGGAGTTAAGTTTCTGCAGGAGTCAAAAGCTGTATGTAAATTTTTGATTGTGCTGGGGATCAGCACCTTAAACCCCTATATTGTTCAAGTACTCTGTACGTTGCTTTGAAAATTATACTTGAGACTATCTATATAAAGCCTACAGCACAGAAACTGAAATTGTTTTCTCCAACTAAGGAATACCAAATTCTTAACTAATTCTCAAAGATATCTCCATATCCAGTGAAAACAAGAGTTTAACAAATGACTTACTTCAGGTCCTGTAGAAGGTCCTTTGCATTAAGCATGGTTATTAAAGAGGTGGTAGCGGCAGGAATTATGATAATGGGTGTTCGAGATCCTGTAAAGACAAAATTATAAAGGTAGCAAATATGTTGTTATTATTATTAAAAGAAATAGTTACTTTTGCAATTGATAAATTTGTAATCCTAACTCCCTTGAGCTAACGAAATATTTTAAGTCAACAGTGATATTCAAAATATTTAGTAATCAGTATGACCTGAGTACTGATTAATCAGAATGGATACCATGCACAAACATCTAATATAACTGCACAAGCAAGATATTAGCCTTCGTTTTTTAATTTGGCTTATTCACTTTTACTTTTTATTTTTAAATTTTTTTTTTAAGTTTTATCTTTATTTAAGTAATCTCTACACCCAACATGGGGCTCGAATTCATGATGCTGAGATCAAGAGTCACATGCTCTTCCGACTGAGACAGCCAGGTGCCCCTACTTTTACTTTTTAAAATAAGTTTAAAATCATATGCACAACCTCACCTTTCTTCTGATTTGGGGGAGGTCTTGCTTGAGAAACTGTTAAAGAGAGGAAAAAAAGAAACTGAGTATTACAAAATCACATTCTTATTTTCAAATTTACAAAGCAACTAAGGCCTAAAAATTTAAATTACATATGACTAGTTAAAAAATTTTAAAATATATTGCAATCTTCTCAAATGATATCAATCTTCTCAATTTATTTCTCTGTTTCACAAAAATACTAAAATGCCTTATCATTATTCAACAATCTATTGTAACAAAGCGGATATAACTACATTGCTAGACTCTGAGTATCTACATTAATGGATATTAAAGTCTAGCAAAAGAAGCAAATAGTTTCTTAATTAACTAACAGCCAATGTAGTAAATGCAAAAACATGTAACAATGGCGGGAAAGGCTGGAAGGAGGAAATGTGCTTAACTATTTGGGAGGGAAAAGAAAGGCATTATTGGGAACTAAGACCTAAAATATTTCTTACCATTTTTCTCTCTCTTTTCATATGATCTTTGTTCATTAGAAGACAACATTACAGGCAATGAGTCATGTGAAGGTCTATATTATTTTGAATTGCCCATATTATTTTTTTTAAGATTTTATTTATTTATTTGAGAGAGGGGGGAGGGAGACAGTGAGACCAGGAGGCAGAGGGAGAGAGAATCTGAAACAGAGTCAGTGCTGAGAGTCCAACACTCAACTGACTAAGCCACCCAGGCGTCCCCAGTTGCCCATATTATTAGTAATTGTGAATGTAGGGGAGCTGGGTGGAGGGATGGGGTAATTGGGTGATGGGCATTGAGGGCACGTGATGTGATGAACACTGGGTGTTATATGTAGCTGATGAATTATTGAACTTTACATCTGAAACTAATGATGTATTATATGTTGGCTAATTGAATTTAAATTAAAAAAATGTGAATGTATGTTATAAAAACACAAATATTCATCTTTTCATTATTTGTTTATATAACAGACTTTATAATTCACAGAAATATTTGCTGGTAAAATAACAGCAACACCAGCCTGGTTCAAGATTAATAAATTTTAGAATTTAAAAATGCTGTACATTCAATTTTCAGATTTTACATGTACAATATTTATTGACTGCTTCCTATGTGTCATGTACTGTATTAAAACTTCCATTTTCTTAAATCACAAAAATAAAAATTCTAGGAGATTTAAAATTCTAACTCAACATCAGTTGTTAAAAACAGATTACCATTTTTAAAGGGACATATTCATTTTGGGAACGTGTTCTTTTTTAAAGCAGTGAAATGCTACATTTTAACTTAATACTGTGTACTCCTTTGTATAGCTACTTATTGTGATAAAATTTTATGGAGTCCAACAGTATGACTCTTCCAGTCACAAAGCAGAGAAAAATATATATAAATACAAGTTCACACACATACATATTTATTATAGTGTTTTCATCTCTCTCTTCTTGCTAAGGAAAAAAACACTAAAGCTTTCTTAAATCATTTTTAGAAATAGGACTCATGGAAACACCTGATTAGCTCGATAGCATCATTTGGAATATAATACATTCTCAGTAAGTATTTGGTGTTTGTTGGAGGGATAAAGTAATGACAGGATGGATGGATTTGGATAAACAGGAGATAGGACTTGCTAAGAAAATAAGTAAGGGGAACAACAAAAAAGAAATTTTTGCCTGAAACACCACTGGTTTGGTTAAAGCAGCCCACAGTGGGCTCAGGAATTTAGGAAAAGATTCACTAAATTCAAGGGTGAGAAGACCCCATGTAAGAAAAAGACAAAATATAAAAGCACACATATTAAAATTTAGAGACTTAGTAAAAAGTAATTACAAAAGAATATAAATAGGTTCCCTGGTTAAGTAAGGACCAAGGCACAGACACGATGACAAACACACTATACTAAGCTTGATTTAGTGGGAGAGAGGAGGAAAGGGCAGAATAACACCAGTCCATATGGCAAATGATTAAGAGCAAGAATCTGTACTCAGACGATCTCAATTACTATCTCCATTTTGCCACTTCCTAGGCAAATTACCCTGGCAAACTGAATTGATAGACCATTCAGTCTCAGTTGTCCTCAACTATAAAACAGTAATAATAGTTTCTACATCTTGAAACTGTTATGAGAATCTTAAAAACAACAATGCTGGTTAAGTCCTTAATCAGGTCTTGGCCCATATTTAATATTCAGCGAACCCTGTGGCTCTAGGTGATCCTAAATGCTCCTACTTCTAGTAACACTACCACTACCTTCAGCAAATTCCATGACTGAAAATTTACCAAGCTGATAAGTAATTATTATTGATTGCTATGTTTGATTTCTAATATAATTACAGTCTTCACTTAAATATTCACAGCCTTATGCAGAAGCCCCTCTTATTATTATAAATAAAACAAATAGTCCCTGCCCTCAAAACCCTTCAGTTAAGTAGGGGAGTCAGACCATAAATAAGCAAGCATACAAACACATATAACAAATTTGAACATGTAATATTAAGGAACAAAAGGCGTGTACACTGACAGAAAAGTGTCCTTTGGATAGAATGCTTAGAGAAAGCCTCTCAAAGAAAGTGGCATTTAAGCTGAAATTTAAAGGATGAAAAGGAGCCAATTTGCAAGGAATAGTGGAGGAATAGCCCAGGTTAGAGGTAGGAATGTGAGCAAATGCCAAAGACAGAAAGAAACTGCTGTGATTAAGGAACTGCAAATGTATAGACTAAAGGGACAAAAGAAAGAGTGGCAGGAAATGAGGTTAAAAATATATTCAAGAACCAATTCACATAAGGCTTTCTAGGCAACGTTAAATTTGCATTTAAGTGCCACTGGAAAACCCTGTAACTTCTAAGCCAGAAAGTGACATAATTTGATTTTCATGTCACATCTTCTGTAAAGGAAAAACAATAGATTTAGATAAGGAATCAAAAGGGGACAAGCATGAAAGCAGAAAGCTCAGTTAGGACTATTAACAACAGTCCACGGTGGTGCTACTCAAATTAGTTGTAAAGATAGGAGGGTTTTTTTTTACTATTTTAAATTTCCAATCCAAGGTCAAGTGAATAAAATGCAGTAACAATGAATTATTAGAAAATGATCATGCACTTGGATGTTGTGACAGTATTGTATTCTCAATTTCTATATGTATCTTGTTGGAAGCCAGAAATAGGTCATGGACTAACACTTCAGGAAGCACTGGTCTAGAGAAATGATAATGGTTTAGACTTAAGTTGTGGTAGTAGAGATAAAAAGACAAATTTGAAACACAGAAAAGGTAAATTTGACAGAAGTCACTGACCTATTAGATGAGAGCAATAAGCATATGTGAAAAGTGAATAATGAAGAATAACTCCTGAACTTTTTTGCTCAAGAAACAGAGGTGCCATTTATTCATGAAGAAGACACCTGGGATAAAACATCAGGGAACAAAGGTTTTACATCAGTTTTAAGATACCTATGGCATATCCAAATGTTAAACAGTTTATATAAGATATCAGAGATAAGAAGAGATGTCTGATTTGGAGATACAAATTTGAAAATCATCAGTGCATAGATGTAAAACTATGGAATGAGATACTAGAACCAGCACAATCTTTTTAAAATATACAAAGGGTGGGGCATCTGGGTGGCTCGGTCAGTTAAGCGTCCACCTTCGACTTGGTCATGATCTCAGGGTCCTGGGATCGAGTCCTGCATCGGGTTCCCTGCTCAGCAGGGAGTCTGCTTCTCCCCCTACCCTTCCAACCTGCTCCTGATCTCTCTCACTCCCTCTCTCTCAAATAAAGAAAATATTTTAAAAATTAAATAAATAAGTAATAAATAAATAAAATATACAAGGGGCTAATTCTCTCTCTCAATCTTATATGTAAAGCAGATAAACTAGAGCGGTAGTCCACCTACCCATTTCAGGCAATCTATGAAATAAAAGTAAAAAATTAAAGCTGGAGAAGTATGCACTGTATATGCATGAGAAAGAGATAGGAAGCTGGGATATGTGAAAGAGATTTAATCTAGAAAGAAAATGACAGTAAAGTACAGGACTATGGCTTACCAAAGGCTTATCCTTCCTAATCCACTGAAAAACATGTGCTTTTTGTTAGTTACATTCTCTAAATGAATGTTTAGAAGTTGGGAATAACTGCAGACACTTTCAAATATCGAATTTACCCAGGGACTTGCCTGACACAATTAGTGCTAGATAAAAATGTGGTGAAAGAATAATAAAAAGGAAAAATTAATCAATAATGGAACTCCATATTTGAGTTGCCCCACTGAAGAGGTAAACAAAATGGTGGTTCAGTCCCTCATTTGGACTCTACCTACAAATAGCAGTTATAAATGCATAATCTCTCATCTGTAACATATTACACTGCCAGACAGGTTTGAGCATTCATATTTTTTTCAATTTTGAAAAGATAACATAAGTGAACATGTCATATATTACACAATCTCTTTGAAATTGGGCAGCATCCCATAAGCAAATACAATAAATATTTCTACAGCAAAAGAAAAATTCACTAATCAAGACAAAGATGACAAACTGCTTAATAGCCACTAAAATCAGTTTTTATTCATAAATGAGTGCTAAAAACTTGTGGAAAAGGAAGAGGGGATCTCACATGGATGGGGATCAGAATATTTGTTCTGAGATATTAATTCACATTAATGTCAATCAGTTTAATTGCCAGTGTACCTTGGTGGAACAATTGAAAAAGAATAATAGAATATTAAGAGTTGAAAAGACACAGCACTCCTTAGTTTACATATGATCTTCCCCAAGGTCACAAAACTGGCTGGTAGAATCCAGCTCCCTTAACTTCATTTTATCACACGGTACATTTGAACAACCTAGTTTATTTAGATATTAGTGCCTCCCCCTACACCTTTCCTTGTCTGCCAAATGATTTTGAGAAAACGTGAAATGACAATTTTACATTACACAACACAAAAGTGGGTTTAGAAACCTCCAGTGGTGATTTCTCCCCTTTTACACCATTTCTGAATTTCTAATGTGATCCTCTTTAGACTGACCAACTATAGCCTCCCATCCCTCCCTTACAGAAAAACAATTCTGTATCAGTCATTCAGCTGCCTCTACAATATCCCTCTATTTCACAGGTTGTATTTTTTGGGCCCAACTGAGTCTGGCAATTCCTACTGCCTTCGCTTTTTCTTCCTTCCTAAAAGAACTCCTTCTGAGCTTTTCCTAGTTTCTGGCACCTTGTACATACATGGAAGGCATTCAACTAATATTTACTGAATTTAATTGTTCTTCCTTATACTCTTACAGTGGCTTCTGGTAAGGTCCTCTCTACTTAAAAAACAGTCCCACAGTCCTGCTATCTGAAATAAATTTATCCAATGTGCTCAAAATTTAACACTCCTGACAATGAAGCACTCCTCTTCTCCACTCATCCTCAAAAACAGGAATGATAAAGATTCCACACAGATCCACTGTGATAAGGAAAGGAAAGGAAGAAGGAAAGGAAAGGAAAGGAAGGGAAAGGAAAGAAAAGAAAAGGAAAAGAAAAGAAAATACTAGTCATGTCAAAATCCGGATGTATGGATCCAGGACACATTCCAATATAAAATCATTCCAATATAAGCCACATATATTAATATCATATTTCTAAAGTGCTTCCAGAAATATTTAGTATGTATAATTTACATAATTTTAGAGTTAGCGTGTAAACATACTATGAATAAAAACACATCCAAATCTACAATATTGATACTGCCAAATTTAAGAGGCTGATCACCCAATTAAATTCTTGCCTGTGCCTTTCCAATCCTTTTCATTTTCTTCATAGCCATATTCAATACCACTGATGAGGTAAAAAAGACACATGGTATAGCCTAACACTATAATTATACTAAATGTAAAAACACCAAAATCAAACCCAAAACACTTAAAATGAATATATTGTTGGTATCTACATGCATTTATAAAGATCAACCTTTTTAGGAACTAGGAAGAGGGAAGAAAAATATTTCCAAAATAACTTCAATAATCCCTATGCTTACCACACATTTTACAAAACTGATTACAGAATCTTATATGCTCAAGAACAAACACATCTGAAATTCTAAGCATAAAAGCTGCCAACAGTCTATTAAAATTATGGTGTTGTGCTTCCAACAGGGGAGGAAAAATCACATCCATATGTACTCTCAAACAAGAAGTGGTGAGGGATGTGTACATATGCATAGCTTTTTTTTTAAAGATTTTATTTATTTATTTGAGAGAGAGCGAGAGAGAAAAACAGCATGAGAGGGGATAGAGTCAGAGGGAGAAGCAGACTCCCTGCCGAGCAGGGAGCCCGATGCGGGACTCGATCCCAGGACTCCGGGATCATGACCTGAGCCGAAGGCAGTCACTTAACCAACTGAGCCACCCAGGCGCCCATATACATAGCTTTTTAAAACATTTTTCTAAGATCTTAAAAACATTTTCTAAAAAATTTTCTTTAATTCTTCAACTCTACCTATTTGTTCAAGTAAATGTTCCTATATTACTTTGTAAATACTTTAAAGTAAAATTTCAATTCCTTCAAAGCACTGTACATATCAAAAAAAATTTCATTGTGACCATTAAAAAAACAACAAAAAATCCCCCAAAGTTTTGTATTTTACCTGGTCTTGGTACTGGCTGTGCCGCAGGAGCCTGAGTCTTACGGGCCGATGCACCTTCCTTTAAAAGAATAAAAATTGACACATGATGTTAGAATTCCTTTACATAATAAACACGTCCATTTAATTACTGCAAAGAAATTCCGTATCTCCTTGTCTCTCAATCAGTCCCTCCACTGAACATCCTATGATCCTAAGCATTAAACACACACACACACACACACACACACACACAAGCACAAAAAACAAAAACACCTCCCTTATCTTTTATGCTATCGGTCATGAGGTAATAATAGGAATATTTAGTAGAAAATAAATTTAAACTGTTACCATACAGTAGTTATTGTAAGCATGTAACATTTTTCAAATATTTAATGATTTGCTTAATTGTTGACAATTTTAATATTTGCTTAAACGTTATTACCCATTTTAAAATCAAGTCAATCTTTTTTCCATTAAACAGTCTCAAAATGAATAAATGATACATAATCTCACATCAGAAAGATATAAATGATGTTACTTTGGAGTGCATTAAAAAATTCCACAAACATTTCAAATTAAATGCCTTTAAAATATTCAGGGAAATAATCACATTTAAAAAGACGAGATTTGTTACATTTAAGAGTGGTTAAAAATTTTAACTAAATAACAATCTCAACTAATTACTAAGCATGTAATATACAGAAGAAAATACGCTAAGTATTGAAATATATCAATTATACATTCAGGAGTAGATGCCTCTGAAATGCTTAAGATACTCAAAAAGCTGTCTTTAATATAACAGTTTCAATCATATTCACACTTAACAGAAAGCTACAAATGAAAAAAAAAAAGCTACAAATGTAAATTTCAAAACAACTAGAATAATATTCTAGTTGTACTCAACTGAATGAAATTTGATAACTATCAGGGAAGTTACATAAATCCGTAATAATAAAAATCAGTATTAGAATCACAGAAACATTTCTAAAGAAATACTGTTAAATAATGTTAATTTTAACCATATTACATTCTCTTCAGAACTTGAGATTCTGCATAGTAAAGTAATTTGGAATGGTAGGCTATACCACAGTTTTTTTTTTTAAATAAATAACTAAATCAATTAAAGACATTTTAGCTTTCCATCCCATGTTCCTGCATAAAGAGGAGTCAACTAGATATTATATAATAAACACAAAAATAAAATAAACATTACCCATATTACCTAGAAATCCTTATATGTAAACACTGAGTCATGGAATATGACTTAGGTACACACAGAAACAGAAAAAATAAATGAGACAGGAAGAAGAACAAGGAGCACACACATATGCAGGTATCTTTCTGTCTACATTTGACTATAAGGTTAGCTGGATCCAAATCAAAGCCCCCCCCCTTTTTTTTATTGTTGTTAATCCCCATACATTACATCACTAGTTTTTGAGGTAGTGTTCCATGATTCATTGTTTGTGCGTAACACCCAGTGCTCCATGCAGAACGTGCCCTCTTTAATAACCATCACCAGGCTAACCCATCCTCCTACCCCCATCCCCTCCAGAACCCTCAGTTTGTTTTTCAGAGCCCATCGTCTCTCATGGTTCGTCTCCCCCTCCAATTTCCCCCCTTCATTCTTCCCCTCCCGCTACCTTCTTCTTCTTCTTCTTCTTTTTAAACGTATATTATATTATTTGTTTCAGAGGTACAGATCTGTGATTCAACAGTCTTGCACAATTCAAAGCGCTCACCATAGCACATACCCTCCCCAGTGTCTATCACCCAGTCACCCCATCCCTCCCACCCCACCCCCGACTCCAGCAACCCTCAGTTTGTTTCCTGAGATTAAGAATTCCTCATATCAGTGAGGTCATATGATACATGTCTTTCTCTGATTGACCTATTTCGCTCAGCATAACACCCTCCAGTTCCATCCACGTCGTTGCAAATGGCAAGATCTCATTCCTTTTGATGGCTGCATAATACAAAGCCCCCTTCTTTTAAAAAGAGTAGACGAAGTTCAAAATCACAAGAACACAACAGCACTCTGTGCATATTGAGAACTATCAGAACCAAAACTGATTCAGCTGACTACTAAAATATACCTATACTATATGACGAGACTTTGGCTCTTATAACATGGGTCAGCAAAAGGTACAAACACATAGAAGTAATATGAAAAAAAGTCTTTTCCGTTAGAAATCATAACCCTTAAGTGTTTTTATTGACTTTTGAGTAAACTCAAAACTAGGACCTCTTTAAATACCAAAAAATAGGTATTTTCTGTTTACAAAGTAAGCTATCATTGCCTGATGACCTTCTCCTACTCCAAATTATCCCTTTTTGGGAATAAGCCTCAGCCCTTGGTCACTGGGAGAGGCATATGTCTTAGGCTAGGTCAATCAAGAGTTCTCCCCTGTATGTTTTACTAGCTGGAACTAGCAAGTTACAACTCTAGCTACAAGGCTGCAAGGTGGTAAACCAAAAATTACAGATGATCATATATCTCTTGACTCATGGGGAAAGCCCAATCTGCAGAAGGACAGAATGACAGTAGTATGCACAAAAAAGAGGTAAATATAACATCCCCTATAACACCTATCTAGATATAATAGCCTCAAGGCCTATTCTCCCCCTACGTCTTCTTGATTATATGAACCTTTAAAATCCCTCATCTCACGACTCTATGAACTCCACACACATTTTTACCTCCATTAGTTGAGCAGAGCTACTGTTAGCTGCAACTGGAAGAGGTCTAACTTTTGTCTTCTCAGATGTACTAAAAACTGAGTTGCCAAAGTCACTGCAGTATAACTTTTCTTAATTTTGTAGTTACTAAACAAACACAAATAAGTGTAAATGCAAGCATGCATTCACACACACTCAATCTCTCTCTCTCTCTCTCTCTCTCACACACACACACAACCTATACAGCTATTAAATTGGAGACTGTAGACTCCTTGAAAGAAAACTGGGAAGAACTTAACTAATCATGTCAGTTTGTAGCCCTTTTAGGACTCCCTAGCCAACACAAAGAGCTAAAAGTTCATTCCACTCCAATCTGTACTATTTTGAAATAAAATTATAGAAGTCCTTGCATAGGGCGCCTGGGTGGCTCAGTTGGTTAAGCGACTGCCTTCGGCTCAGGTCATGATCCTGGAGTCCCGGGATCGAGTCCCGCATCGGGCTCCCTGCTCGGCGGGGAGTCTGCTTCTCCCTCTGGCCCTCCCCCTCTCATGTGCTCTCTCTCTCTCTCTCAAACAAATAAATAAAATCTTTAAAAAAAAAAAAAAAGAAGAAGTCCTTGCATAAAGAACCTCAGAAACCATATAATCCGACCCCACCACTCCTTAAAGATGAAAAAACAGAGGTGAGGTTTTTCAAAGGCTACAAAATGGTATATCTGGCATATGCTAAGAAAAAGGAATAAGAATTTGGCAGTAATATGGGGAAGAAGAGACTGACAGTTCCACATTTTTAAAGATACATGGATTGGGGGAAAAATATAATACCCATCTGGGAAAATAAAGTATCAGGGAAAAAAAAAAAAAGCCAACTAAAAGAGCTGACAAGTTGTGCTAACTGGAGAGGAAAACTTGCTTTCTCTTGAAAAGTCAGAACAATTACAATTTCCACCGAGACCTGAGGCATTCTAGAAAAGAAATAACTGATAAGAACGGTAGAAGTGATAGAATCATTTTTGTAAAACATAACAAGGCAAAACAAACTATACTGTTTATAATCCTTACTTATTTTAGCAAATGAGAAAACCTAAAAATCTCCTGGTACCGGGAGAGACAATATTGGTATTTCTGCTTTAAACAAGCAGGAAATAGTACCATTATATATAATATCATAAGAAAAAATATTTGTGGGCGCCTGGGTGGCTCAGTTGGTTAAGCGACTGCCTTCGGCTCAGGTCATGATCCTGGAGTCCCGGGATCGAGTCCCGCATCGGGCTCCCTGCTTGGCAGGGAGTCTGCTTCTCCCTCTGATCCTCCTCCCTCTCATGCTCTCTGTCTCTCATTCTCTCTCTCGCAAATAAATAAAAAATAAAAAAATAAAATAAGAAAAAATATTTGTAACAAGTGTCAGTATGAAAAAGATTATATTTACTTAATTTGGAAAAATGCTTTTTATATGAAACTTCATAAAATACTAAAAATTCTAAATGAAGAAAACATACAGAATATATATGCAGATTTTATAAGTTTATAATCTACCTTTTTGACTACCGTATTTACGACAGCAAAAGTAACGTTTTAAAAATGAAATACTAATTGTACCCTTACATGCAAAGGCAAACTTTCTACAGTAACACACTCCCATGAAATGTGGATTTGATATTTAGAATTCCCAAATACCAGGATGCTTTTTTAAAAAGGATCTGAATTTTAAGTACATTGAGTCTTTAAAAAAAAAGTATTTTGGAAAAACTATAAAGAAAAAGAAAACTGCAACTCTGTAGACAAATGACAATGAGGTTGAAAACATACAAGATTTCAAGAGCAAAACACAAATTACAAGCACAATTTATTTTTTTACATTTGCCATAACCCAGAGGCATATGCATAGAATGTCTGCCAACACAGAAAATAGCTAACACATTCCTAAAATATACTATAGTGTATCTATAAAATATATAGATTTGATACCTCTATCAAATCCCTCAATTTGCTATAGAATTCTCTATTTACTTTGTCTGCTTCTCTCAACCAGACTATAAGCTAACTTAGGTCAGGGACTCTCTATTATGTCTCCAATGCCTGTTACATGGTGCCTAATGTATGGCAGGTCCTTAAAAAATTTACATTAACTAATTAAAACAAAAATCCATTTGCCCTAATATTACTGATTGACCACTGTTAACTGTTTTAATCTGCTAAATAAAAATGGTAAAAATATCATAAAGAATTATTGAGAGACTTAAACAACATTAATTTATTCATTCTATACACATTCATCAAAGCACTGAAAGCCAAGTAAGAAACTGGGAACGCATCAGTATGAACAAAAGCAAGGTGGTCCCTGCCTTCATCATGTTTTGTAATTTAATGGAGGATCAGTGAATCAAAGTTTAAAAATTAT